AGATATTTTAATTTAAAATTTAAAAAAAACTCACTAAAAACAAATTGCTTGGTTTCTACTGGCACCCCCCCATATATAATTTTGTAATAACCAGATTGCAATTCTAAATATAGGTAATTTTTTAAACTGATACTAATCTATCAAATAACTTGACAAGTGACTTGATAGATAACCTATCAAATAATCTAATAAATGATCTATTGGATGATATTTTAAAACTAATCTGATTTTTATTTAGATGAAATATTGTCTATTTATCAGATAATTTAAGTGAAGATTTTTTAAACAAATCAATTTACTAACCTGAAACTACTTCTTATAAGTTTGGTATAACAGTTTTATTTTAGCAACAAATATACTAGATAATTGATATTGAGTACTAGTTTATACTTAAATAAAGTATAGAGTTTATTATAATTATATTTTAAGAAAATTATATGATTTGTAATAACAAAGATGCAAATAGCTAAATGTATATAAAAATACAAGTAATTATTTAAATAAGTTTATAATTTGTTCTTAAGTTATTTATATATAAAGATATTATAATGAGGTTATAATTTATTTAATAAAGTATTTGAGTATTCATATATAAAAATATAATTACTTTTTATTTATTGTTAGTTGTTATTGAAATTTTGAGTTTTATCTTTTATAAAAAAAAATATCTAATACTATTTATTTTTTGAACTTTTAATCTGCTACTATTTTTATAAATTATATTTTATTAAACTACTAGATCTACAAAAACTATTAGCACTACTAGTACTACTACTAGTACTACTAATACTACTAACTCTACTAGCACTAATAGTGCTACTACAGCATCTTTTGTATTAGTATTATATTATGGTTATTTTGGTTATATGATACTAATTACAAAAGTCAACAGTATATATATATATATATATTGTATATATCTAGTATATATATATATTGTATATTGAAATAAAATTATTGTAGATTTAGAATTTATCTAAATTGATTTCAAATAAACATAGATTGTATTGGAATTTTAAAATATTTCTGAGTTGCTAAAGAATTCTAATTCAACTTATAATAAAATTAAATAGATTCTAAATTATTTTATCAAGTATATTGTTTTAAAATTTAAAATGCTTTAAAATAATATTTATTTATAGCAATAATGCATTAGTAAATTAAATTAATTTATTTAAAAGTATTACATATTAGTATAGTTTTTATATTTATAATTACTAGAATAACAACTACTACCACATGACAAAATTATTTTTTTATATTTATAATAATTTTTTTCACACAAATTTTTGCAATTATATTTAATATTGCCAATTTGTAAAAAAGATTGTATAATTAATATTTTTCGAATGTTTATAAGTATTAAAAAGATATTATCTAATTCAAGAAACTTGCTAGAATCTAAAAAAAGAAGTTTATTAGTATTATATATAATTTTAATAATATCTGATTTATATCTAAGTTTATATTTATTATTATTTGATATTTGAGAATTTTGTATAAAAGTATTTTCGATCAGTATATATTCAATTAATACTAGAGATCTTGATATGTACTAAATTACTAATATTAAATTTATTGTTAAATTTTTTATTATACTTATTAAGTTGTGACTTCATGTTATTGCAATATTATTTGAAAGATTTTGTAGTGATACTTTGATAAATTTTATAAGCTGATATTTTTTGAATATTGTTTCTATTCCAGAATGTATATTTAGATTTAGAACCATGTTTATCTAAAAAAACTGCAAAATAAAAATAAATTTAACTTATATTATATAATTATTTAAGTATTGGTACTTGTAGTAGTAGCTATCAAAACAGAAAACTTATACTTTTTATTTAAACAAATATTAATTTTAGGTAGCCTTCTATTAACAACTTCATCTTCAGGAAAACTTCTTCTAATGATTTCATCTTCAAGTAAATTTTTACCAATAGCTTTATCTTTAGATAAACTTTTACTAATAGTTTTATTTTCTAATAATTTAATTAAACTATTTTCTTTATTAAATATTTATTTATTAGATTTTATAATTATTAAATTTTTTTATTAAAACAATAATATTAATTATTTTTGCTTATTGTTATATTTTTTAGTTACCCTATACTCAACTTTGCATATTATTTTTTATTTATTCTTTTATTTAACTGATTATTTAATTTGTTATCTATCATATTATCTAATATTTTATTATCCTCTATTTTATATACTTATTTTTTGTCTAATCTTTCATTCTTCAATTTATACTCAAGCAATTGCTATTTCTAAAAAAGTTAAATTAAAATAAATAAATATTTATTGTATTAAAAAAAATAAAAAATAAAAAATATCTCTATATTTAATCTTGCAGCTTCTAAAAATAACTTTATAGCTTTTTGCTAATTAAAATTGTCTCAAAGCGTAGATATTTTAAACTAATTCTCAGATAGTTCATTTTTTAAATTAATATATTAATTTTTGATTTTTATTAATATTATAAAATGTTGTAAATGATCATTAAAACACAAATTTTTGGAAACAAAAAACAACAAAAAACTACAAAAAACACATCAAGATCACTAGGAAACTAAACCCAGAGCTCTAAAAAAAGAGAAAAGAAATACAAAAAACACTCAGTTTCTTAGAAGACTTGAGAAGTAGAAGCAGAACTAGTAAAAAAATAGAAGTTGTGAAAAATCATCGATATTTTTTTGCACTTTACGAATTTTTGGGAAATTGGCCTTGATCCTAAATTGTAGATCTGTTTTGGTGATACAAAAATCACAATATATAATAGAAAGTAAACAAAAAACACAACAAAAACTACGTAACAAAAATAAACAAAGCTATTAAACACATGCAGCAAACAACATCTTTTGATAGCAATAGAAAAACAACAAATTACGTAAAGCAAATTTTAACAGAGCATCTAAGAAGAAAAATTGAAATATCTGAAAATATGAAGATAGTATTAAAAGAATTTTAGACCTTAATAGCAGAATCACCTGAGAAAGAAATAAATAAAGAGGTAAAAGAAATGATGGCAGAATATACTAGACAAAAGCTTCTTTCAAAAGATTTAGCCGATAAATAAATAAAAGATCTCTATGAAATATTATGGCAGTATAACAAAGGAGAATAAAATTCACAGCATCTGAACTTATAAAAAGACCACGAGGCTTATTATAAAGCAATACAAGATGGTGAAGACTCTGTTAACCAAATTATAAAAGAAGAAATATATAGTATCATAATTGAAGTAAGATTAGGTGATAGAGTAAGAAAAATACTAATAGATAGGAAAAAGCAAGTTGATGAAGTAAAGGCGAAAATAGAATTAGATTAAGCAAGAGACTTTAAAATCAAAGAAGAAGCCAACAAAAACAGCATAACAAAACAGCTCTAAAATCTATAGTATATCAATTTAAAGAATCTGTCAAGTCTTTCACAGCAGTATATTACAAGATCAAAAAGAAAATCAAAGAAACAAAAGAAAAGAAAATATAAATCCTGCAAAAGAAAAAACAAATAGCTAAGATAAAGTCAAAATTAGAAGCAGGCTAGAGCAAGAAACTTTAAGAACAAAGAAAAATTTGACAAAGACAAAACAATGAAATAGAATTAAGAACTCTAGTAATAAATTTCAAAGTATCAGCCGAACTAGAGTTAGCAAGACAAGAGAGAAAAAAAGAAAAGCCAAAGAAAGAAAAGAAAAGAAAGCTAGAGAACAAAAGACTAAAAGCTTTGTCAAAATAGAAACCTAGTCGTATTCCAAGAAGACTCAAGATCAAAGGCTAAAATAACAAATCTAACAGAATGGTTAATCGAAGTAATATATTATTATAGATATACAGAATAATAGTAGAGCATGAAAGATGAAAGAAAAAGATCTGCTTATAAAATAGATGCAGTGTTTGAAGGTCAAAGAAGCACTGATGCAAAATAGATTCAAGTTATATCAACATATAGGTGAAAAAGAGACAAGAACTGGAAAAAGAAAAAAAAAGATACGTTAATAAAGATATTAGAGAAAATCTTTGTAGAAATTTTTGAAAACTGAAGTATGTAGAAC